AGGCCGACACTGTAGCATTCTGGCGCGGCCTGTGGTTAGAGCCCGTAAACCACAGCGAGGGCCCTTGGACGGAAGTTGTAGCGAGTCAGTATAACGTCCATGGACCCCGTCATTATAACACCGGATGACGTAGCTGAGGCGGTCCATAGGGCCCCGAACTGGAAAAGTCCGGGACTCGACGGGCCGCATCACTTCTGGCTGAAGGGGTTCGTGGTGTGTCCGACAGTTTCAAGAGGCTCTCAATCAGAAGTCGCTCCCGAGCCTCTTCACTACTGGGATCACCCATTTGTTTCCTAAAGACCAGGGTACCACAGACCCGAGCAAATACCGCCTCACCACATGTCTACCTACCATATACAAGACACTAACATCCATTTTGAGCGCGAGAATCACCTGGCCTCAAATCAGGTGATGTCGCGCACTCAAAATGGATGTCGGGGCGGTGGTCGTGGAACTAAGGAACCACTCCTCATTGACGCGGTCATTGGCAAAGTGGTGAACAACCGTCGGAACTTCTCCGCCGCCTGGATAGACTACAGAAAGGCATTCGACTCGGTGCCCCATACATGGTTAAAGAGAGTCCTCGAGCTATACAAGATAGACTGTACATAAGGATAAGAAGGGGTATCTTCTAGGGCGATTGTCTGAGTCCAACCAACCAGGTTGGTTCCACGACCACTTGACCAAAGTGCTTAACAGCCTTTTGTCCGGTGTGAGTAAGGCACACGCATATAACGGCTGGGTCATGCCTGTCCTCATGTATACCTTTGGCATACTCAGGTGGACTCAGATAACGCCCTGGACGGAAAAGTCCGGACTACCATGACGTCCCATAGAATGCATCATCCGAGATCGTCGGTAATGAGGCTGTACTTGCCGCGAAAACATGGTGGCTTCCTGAGCGCGCTCACCATGCATAATCGCGAAGTGTGCAGCCTCCGTGATTACTTCCTGGCGAGATCGGATGATCCATTCTATAAGGACGTCATTTCTTGTGATAAAGGACTTACCCCTCTATCCTTAGCCGACGAGCAATGGCAAGACCCGGCAGTGCAGAGCATTTCCGACCGGGAGACCGTATGGAAAGAGAAGGAGCTCCACGGGAGGTTCTACAAGGCTCTACATGAGCCTTTCGTAGACACAGTAGCCTCCCTCCACTGGCTACGCTTTGGTAACCTCTTCGGGGAAACCGAGGTTTTGTCTGTGCAATACAAGATCAGGTTATTAAGACCAACAACTATCGGAGATACATCCTAAAGGATGGCACTGTCGACGTCTGTCGAGCTTGTCGCCATCCCGCCGCCGTCACTTAGGCATGTCATCTCCGGTTGTTCGGCGCTTTCTAACTCTGAGTAATTGCACAGGCACAACCTAGTAGCCAGAATTCTTCACAAGGAACTCGCTCTGAAATACGGTCTCGTGAATCGGAAATTGCCGTATTACAACAAGTACTTGCCGGAAGCCGTGCTCGAAAATTATCGCGCCAGGCTCTACTGGGACCGGGCCATCATCACAGACAGTATTATTCTTGCGAATAAGCCAGATATTGTGCTGATGGACCGGGCACGTCAAGGATATTTTTGGTCGACATTAACATTCCGTATGACGAGAACCTCGTGAAAGCCGAAACAGATAAACAAACAAAATATCTGGACCTGGCTCATGAGATGACCAACATGTGGGGTGGTCTGCCGACCGAAATTATTCCTGTAGTCGTCTCTGCAAACGGGCTAATCCCAGTCAGCCTCTCGGGTCATCTGAGGCGGCTGGGACTGCGTGGCGGACCGCTCCAGGCTCAAATGCAGAAGGCGGTGCTCCTCGATACCGCCCGTATCGTCGGCCGGTTTCTTTCCCTTTCCTCCTAACCCTCGGCCGTTTGGTCTCCCCTGCCGAGGGCTTCCATCTGGTTGGGCTTTTATTCATTTATGTATTTTTATATTTATTTAATTTTATTGATATTTATGTATACTTATCTTTTCATTTCCATTTATAATTATATATTTATAGAACCCAACCAGATGCGAAAACTATATAGATACCCCCCCAATAATAATAATAATAATATTTATTGAATCCAAACATACTTTACATAGAAACAAAAAACTTATAAAATTACATTGACAGGACGTATTCTAACTCAATACTATATTATCTTTAGCAATCGTGCTAGGTCACAGACCTGTGTTACAGCTGCAAAACCCTCCCCATTAAATATATACCAAATGTTGAGATTTGTTAATCATAACCAATATTACAAGTTTAAAACTAAATGTGAAATTAATACGTAGATGCCAGTGTGTAGAATATGAGTGTATAGTGTATGTGTGTAGAATATGTGTGTTTGTATGTAATTACGGATAATTACAGTGCTTATGATATCTTTAAACATTTTTGTGAAAAATGGGGTCACAACTTCCTTCCTATTTCTTAGAATTTTGTTGTTTATACCGTGGAGTCCTGGTGCCTTGTCTCCTTTGGGTGTCTACAGCTTTGTCAACTTCGACATCAAGAATGTCCTAGCATTCTTATCACTGAGTGCTCCACTAAATTAATTTCGCCATGTGGATTGTTACATTCATAGAGTTTTTTGTAATAAGATGTGGCAATTCCTAACATGTCCTCTGTGATAATTTCATTTTTCACTTTTTTATTTCAAGATCAAATCTATTGAATTTGCTAATTCTTTATATCCTCTATTGACGTCTTCCGTTTCGATTATGCACTTTTCAATAGTTTAAATTCTTATTCTGTTCCTATCTACTTTCTTTGATTTCTTTATTAATTTACGCTAAATGCTCTCTTCTGTCTTTTGCATGTGCTGCGCTGATGAACTGGTTCCTTTGTGCTTGCAATTTTGTAGTATTCATTGTTAGCCATTTTCTGGTTCAATTTGAAGTGTCTGAATTTGAATGTACTCTCTATCCAATTGTACTTCTTCTATGTTCCCTAAACTCTTTGTGTTCTCTTTGAAGACTATGAATTTGTCTCTCAGGGTGATCGTTAATGGTGCCATTTGATGTTTTTCGAGCTTCGTCTGGGTTCTCTTAGTTATATTGTTTTTAGATCTGCTCTGATAATTCCATGGTTATCGTTGAAGTTAAATTTGTTGATGATGTTGAAATTAATGAAGTAACTATCTATTATACTGTTTATTAGTCATCATAAAATCGATTTCGTTTTTTGATTTTCTATCCGTTGAAATCCAGGTCCAAATTTTTTTGTTGTTTTTTGAATTTAGTGTTTAAAATGGTTATTGTTTTCTAGAGTAAAGTTTGTGATTTTCCTCTATTTCTATTTCTGGTTTTGTTGCTGTCCCTTTTACCTATAATAGAATTGTCGCGAGCGCTATGAAATAAACACTGATTTTGACAAATATACACACCTCCAATATATACAGTCCAGTCAGTGTTAGCAAATTGTTATTTTTAAATAAAGATTTACACGATTCAAGGGGCCCGACTTTGCATAAAGCTCGTATACATTTCTTTTGACTGATAAATGCCTTGTTTATATTAGTCAAGTTTTCCCATACCAATAGACCATACCTTAACACAGATTCAATGTATGTGTAGTATGCAGTAAGCGCAGCCCGTTAGGTTAGGTTAGTCCGTTAGGTTTTCTACCTTTCTGCGTGTGACTGCTATTAGGGCTGTGATATAAATGTTTGGTGTTTGTGGTATTTATTTTTCTTTATTGTTGGAGGGTTGTGATCTCTTCGATCCCTTACAAGGACCAGTCGGCTTGGGAGAGGTTGCGTTTTTTCTTGATTGGTTGGATTTCGCCTTAACCAGTAACTAATTACTAGTGGTTTTTGCGTGTGAGTTAAAGCAAGTAAAAGAGTTTAGCCAGGTTCTCATTAAATCAAAGGCGTTTGTCCTGTCAGTTTTGATAGAACTTAGCATTTGTTGTTTTTTGTGTTGAGTTTTTGAAGGTGACTGTGGTGAAGTAGTTGGTTCTTTTTTTTCATATCAATGTAGGTGTCGGGTTCTTTGACTATTAGTTTATCATATTTCAAAAAAGCTATGATTCCTTTTATCTACTCTTCTAGTAGTTTTTGTTGCAATGTTTTTCTTTTCTCTGAAACTTCTTTAGTGTAGTTCTCCAATACATAAATTTTATTTTTATTTTTATTCTTCTCAATTTCGTCCATTCTCTATCCATTTATAAAAGTACATGGTCATGGACACAGGTCGCAGTTTCAGTTTGTGCTCGACTTTATTTTTTAAGTGATGAAATTTTTTACATCGTTTTTTTTCTAATCATATTCAAATCTTCTTAACCTTCCGAAATAACTGCGATGTTGACTTTTCACCCTCTTCCAATCCAAAAATATTTATGTTATTGCTTTTCTTTTCTCTTTTTAAATATTGTATCTCTTCCTCTAAATTCCAAATTTTTTGTTTTGGTATTTCGTTTTCATCAATGATGAGATTTTTTTCATCCATCCTATCCATTACACTTTTCGTAAGAAATTCTGTTAGTTCAGCTGAATACATTTCCGCCACCATTTTATAAAATAATTTTTGAAATTAACTTAATTATTAATACTTGAATATTACCGAGTCAAATTTTGTTAAACGGAACGTTAATGTAATGGAGATTATTTTTCTTGTACTGATAACACTAAAGTTAATGCCAACTGAACAAACTGACAGCAAAGATACCTGTTTGACCGATTGTCAGATTGACAATATTCTTCACCCAACACAATGTTGGATGATAAGTATTAATGAATATTGATTTAACCCTAATTATTGTTGCTAATGTTCAGCTTCGGTTCACTGGATAACGAGAATGGTTATATCTAAATATAAAGCAATCAAATTCAAATTATATCTCCTAGGTCTTCTGAGACTCTAATTGTTTGTACACTTTTGATATCCAAGTGTAGCTTGAAACTATTTTCGTTTAACCAATTTGTTTCGGATAAAATCCATAAACTTTAGTAATATACTTATAAATATATAATTTTTTTTAAAATATGTAATATAAGAACTCACCAAATATCCTAGAAGGGAGAGGCGCTGATATGGAAATCTTCTCTCTCTGACTGTACTGGTGCCTGCAGCGCTGCATCGCTTCGCTGAACGTCTGTATGCAGGTGTCCAAGCGCTGCAGCAGCTGCGGCAGCCGGTCGCGGCCGGCGGCGGCGGCCTGCCCGCACAGCGCGGCGGCGCGCAGCAGCGCGTCCTTGAGCCGCACGTACGCAACCTCCTGCGAGAACGTGCGCGCCCGCAGCTCTGCGTCTACGTCCTGTGGCCCGTCCCAGCTCACTATTGCCCTCAGGTCGCGGTTGTCACTGTCAATTTTATCACCGTACGTAAGTAAATTTACAATAGCATGACTTAACTGCAAGCTCCTTTATCTCACGGTAAGTTAAACTATGCGTTTTTTTGTTATTGTTTTTGTGAGGATCTTGAGAAACATAGTGTTATAATGATTTCTTAAATTTACGCGAACACTACACATTGAATAAAATTATTATTTACGGATTTTATCGCGTTTAATTACTTTAATTTGTTTTTACTATCCCGACGTTTCGGGTGCTTTACAGCACCCATGGTCACGGGGGGGGACTACCTTCAGTTTTTGAATATTAATTTTTGGTCCGATTTACATAGTGTTATTTTATGATACCTAAATACTCCTCCACTAAGTAGAAAGGATTTTATTTTAAATATTTACTGAAGCTTGATTGAAATTTGGTTAATTCTGCTGTTTTTTATTTCCAGGGGTAATTTATTATAAACTTTTACCGCCATATAGAAGGGACTTGTATTTAACATTTTTGTTCGTGACTGTGTAGGTTTCATTTATTTTTGTTATGTGTATTTATGTTATCTTAATATATATCTCTCGTATCGTTTTAATACGCGTGCGTTTTGAGTGTGTTTCTGTATTTCCCATTGTTTTGTTGATTTATATTCCTCGACCACTGCTATTGTTCTACTGACTTCTGATCTTACTTAAATCGTAGCAAGGGTCGCCTTGCTATTATTCCGGACACCGATAAACTCGTTTACCCGTTTGACTTTGGCTTGGTATTGTGGATTTTATGGACAGGATTTTATCGATTGGATATTGACACAATGGATCGCTGTGTGAATTGTAATTATAATTAAAGACGAATAAACGATAATTAAAAAAGTGTTTTTTTAAACATCGCCTAACCTCCGCAACCTTTAATCTATTCGTGAGTTTCCTGTTATCGTCCCACTCAACACAGTACAATAAACACCACAATCAATACAGTAAGCAACTGTCTAATAAAAACAGAGCAATTGCACTTCAAAAATCAGCTGTTTAGTTTAGGGTTTTGCCAACTTATTGCGTAACCTCTCTTTTACTAAATCTCATATAACTTTGATCTCATTAACTCTCAGATTGCCAAAATCCGTTAGATAACATATAAGCTATTGATTGACACTACTTTCATCTTTTTACAATCTGGGCCCAAGAATGTATGAATATGTATGTGCGACTCACGCGTGGTGCTCGGCCAGATCCGGCAGCAGTGCGGGGGGTGCGGGAGTGCGGGCAGCTGCAGCGCCAGTACTGTGCGACTCACGTGAGGTGCTCGGGCAGGTCCGGCAGCAGTGCGGGGGGTGCGGGAGGCGCGGGCAGCTGCAGCGCCAGTCATGTGCGACTCACGTGAGGTGCTCGGGCAGGTCCGGCAGCAGTGCGGGGGGGTGCGGGAGAGCGCGGGCAGCTGCAGCGCCAGTACTGTGCGACTCACGTGAGGTGCTCGGCAGGTCCGGCAGCAGCGGGGGTGCGGGGGGAGGCGCGGGCAGCTGCAGCGTCCAGTACTGTGCGACTCACGTGAGGTGCTCGGGCAGGTCCGGCAGCAGTGCGGGGGGTGCGGGAGGCGCGGGCAGCTGCAGCGCCAGTACTGTGCGACTCACGTGAGGTGCTCGGCCAGGTCCGGCAGCAGTGCGGGGGGTGCGGGAGAGGCGCGGGCAGCTGCAGCGCCAGTACTGTGCGACTCACGTGAGGTGCTCGGCCAGGTCCGGCAGCAGTGCGGGGGGATGCGGGAGTGCGGGCAGCTGCAGCGCCAGTAATGTGCAACTCACGTGAGGTGCTCGGCCAGGTCCGGCAGCAGTGCGGGGGGTGCGGGAGTGCGGGCAGCTGCAGCGCCAGTACTGTGCGACTCACGCGAGGTGCTCGGGCAGGTCCGGCAGCAGTGCGGGGGGTGCGGGAGTGCGGGCAGCTGCAGCGCCAGTACTGTGCGACTCACGTGAGGTGCTCGGGCAGGTCCGGCAGCAGTGCGGGGGGTGCGGGAGGCGCGGGCAGCTGCAGTGCCAGCAGCGCGCGCTCGCGCGGCAGCAGCGCCGCCCACGCGCAGCCTGCGAGCCGCGCGTGCCATGCGCCCAGTTCCACCAGCTTCTCAAACGTGCCGTACTTGTACGCGTACGTCACGTGCTCCGCGCTCTGCAAACACACACACAGCGCTCTCTCGATGTTTTGTTTTATGTAAAATAAAGCTGACAAACGAGCACACTATATCAGATGGTGACTCCTGTCTAACGTGACACCCAATACCTTAGTCGACATTACGCTTTTTATCGACTCCTTCCCCATCCTGATAACAGATGGTCGCTGGACTTCGTGGAGGAGAAGGATAGCCTGTTCCTATCTCTCCCACGATGATGCCGGCTCCATTGCAGATTTGGCCGCTCTCTCTATTTCAGCTCTGGAGTGCGCCTCTATCAGAAGTGTCAAATCATCTGCATACGCCGACATTTTCGTGTCTAGGGGGAATGGCATTTTCAACAAATCGTCTAGCAATAGATTTCACAGGATTAGACGATCCCTGCGGGCAGCCCATGGTCGAGTGTTTCTATTCAACACAATCACCTGAGAATATGCGTCTCGTCTGTTGGTTAAATAAACCACTAACATGCGGTAGGCATTAGATAGAATTCCCCCTGGTTTAGCCATTAGTAGTATTATCGGCCACCATCTTAACAAAAAGTCTGTCAATTTCAGGGGGGCGCAATAAACACACACTAACGTATACTTCATGCTCATTACATTTGCGCATACCATCAAATTGTACACGTATCGATTGATACACAGGTGCCGCTGTCTCCGTGCATAAGCAAAGTAAGGCGAGGACTATGTCGATATTTTTATCGATAAACAAATCATCATAGTCCGCATAAGTTCAGCGTTGGTAAAAGTGATTTTTTAGTGTTTTTCCATTCATTACCTACAGCCCCTCACAAGTCCGCTACAGAACATAGGCTTCCCCAAGGGCGGTTCTGATGCACCTGCATCCATCGACTTCCTGCAGTTCCTACCAGGTCACCACTCCATCTAGTGGGGGGGGGGTCGCCTTGCACTTCACCCACCGGTACGAAGTCGCCACTCGAGCACCTTTCCCCCCATCGGTTGTCGATTCTTTTGAAGAGTTCGCTATATGACCGTTTGCCCCATTTGCCCCCTCAGCTTACTAATCCGTTGAGTATGTCGGTCTCTCTGGTTCTACTGTGAATATCCTTATGTTTGTCATGCAGAAAACCCCGAGCATAGCTTTAATCTCCGTAGCTCGCTGAGCGACTAACTTCCTCATACGACTAGCAAAGGTTTTTAGTGTAATATAAAAATATGATCTTAATAGTAAATACATAATTATGGTTTTGAAAGACTGATCAAACTCAGATTTTTATTCAAATTTAATCAAAAAGTTGGCTATGGGTACTTTCCACGTTGTGTTTTTATACCGAGCAATAAAAACACTAATGCGTCAGTAGCTTCATCGAAATCATCGGATATAATATCAAACCCGTAGTCGACATAGCCATAATGCCTTTTGTACGAGTAAACCCGTACATTTTTATATATTAGCGTAATTGGAGCGCGAGCTCGTGTTTGACGTCATTTTAATGCATTGTACATATTATGTTTTCTTTTATAATAAATTCAGTATCATTCGCAAGGCGTTACAGTTAACAGTGTTTTATTTTGCATCCTACAATCTCAGTATTTGAGTGGTACTCCTTAACAGCATTTAATCTTGCATTGCACTGCATTACATATTTGCATATTTACGTACACATTTTGGTCCTTCGACTATTACCTTAGTGTTTAGTGTTTTGGTACAGTGGCGAATCGGTTCCTCTGGCCTCCCACAAGCGGGTCTCACCAGTCGAATTGAGAAGGCGCATACATACTGTGCTGAGGACACAAATGCACTAAGTGGACCCGACGTTTGGAAGTTACAGTTCCATCACTGTTTACTTGCAGCTTACATATTCAATTAATAATTTATCATTATGCAAGCCTTACTGCAGAGACAGTTCGAAATCGTAAACGAGATCAAAAAGCTTAACACCAATTTCAAAAAAGATCCGAAGTCAAGGAAAACTAAGGAATACATAGAGAAGAGAATCAAAGATTTGGATGATCTTTGGCTCGAATTCAAAAGCAACAACGAACAATTATCGACAGTAGCAGACAAGACTCATGAATATTTTACAAAGGACATTTTTCTTGTGTATGAACATTTGTACAGCAAAACGCGGGAAATGATGACTGTGTATGAGTATGAATCAAAGGATGAATCGACGAAGGATAATACCACCCAGGTTGACCTTGAGAAAGCTAAAGAATTATTAAGTTTGCAGCGAACTAACTTTCGAGCATTTTCGAGAATAACTGAGAACTTAGACATAGAAAACATCGAAGAAAAATGGGAGTTAGAGTATGAGTTAAGAAACCTTCAAAATCGTTGGAGCAACATCGAAGAAACTCACTTGAAGATTGACAATATTCTCGAAGGTTCCGATTTAGAGTACGACAAGGAATATGAGGAGATGGAAGTCAAGTTTAAAAACATGAATAGGTTACTGAACAAAAAATTAACATCTCAAAACTATGCACACCTCACAACACCAAAAATAGAAATACCTACGTTTTCTGGGAATTATATCCAATGGAGTACATTTTTTGACCTGTTTAAAGAAGCCGTTCACAACAATCCTTCTATGACTAAGGCACAAAAAATGCAGCACTTAAAGGGCAAGCTCAGAGGTGAAGCCGAGCGCCTAATACAACACTTGCATATATCTTCAGAAAACTATGACTCCGCGTGGAAATTATTAGTGCATCGCTATGATAATCAACAAGTCCTCTTTACGAAGCACATTGAAACTCTTTTAAATCAACCTAACATCCAAAAACAATCATCAACGGAACTCAAACGACTTCACGACGTATCAATGGAATGCATTCATGGTGTTTTCAATATGGGGATTGACACTAGCTCTTGGGATCCGATTCTGGTACACCTTATAGCAAAGAAATTAGATACAACAACTTACAGTGATTATATGGAGTCAAGAAAAGCCCCACGGGAACTACCTGAGTTGGATGAGTTTATGGCGTATTTGGAAGCCAAATTCATAGCCCTAGAGCCAATGAATAGGAAAGAGCAGACAGTCGAAACATTTAATTTTAATAAAAATAACCATGTATCAAAATTTAAACAACGTAATTACCAAAAACCTGCAATTTATGAGAATAGAGATGCATCATTCAAGAAATCGTTTTACGTAAACTCCAAATTTATACCTACTTGTCCTTTATGCAAACAAAATCACGCATTGTTTCAATGTAAAAGATTCGAAGTCATGCCACCGGAAATGAAACTACATACCATTTCGAAACTACACATATGCGAAAACTGTTTATACGTGCATAAATATGAATGCAATTCTGAAAAACGGTGCAAGGAGTGCAACAAGAAACATAACACCTTATTACACGACGTTTATATTACAAAGGCGGCTAATAATGCAAGTTCGGCGAACATGACGACTACGACCTCGAAGTCGCAGGGCACGAAACCACATGTACAATCGAACCACGTGGCTGGAAATGATGAAGAAATATTGCTTGCCACTATCAAGATGCAAGTAAGGGCAGCAGATGGCTCTTACATCATACTGCGCGCACTTCTGGACCAGGGATCACAAACGTCCCTTATATCCGAAAATGCAGCTCAAAGGCTGGGGCTGAAACGTCAAAACTTCAATGCATCTGTCACCGGTATCGGTACTTCGCCAAACAAAAGCCGAGGAAAAGTATTATTGCACTGTAAATCATTATCGACCGATTATGCATTCTCTACAGAAGCTTTAATAATGTCCAAAGTTATTAACTGCCTACCTGTGACGTTATTCGAGAACAAAAATTGGCCACACATACAACACTTGCAATTAGCGGATCCTGAATACAATATATCGAAGCCTATTGATATTCTTTTAGACGCTAAAGTTTATGCTGAAATCATCATGGATGGGCTGTTAAAAGGTTCACCATGCCAACCAATAGCACAGCAAACACAAATGGGTTGGATATTGTCTGGTTCTACGACGAAAACATTCAACTGTTATTTTACTATCAATAATATCGAAGACATTTGCAATTATTGGGAAATGGAAGACATATCGGAACATGAACGCTCATTAACTTTAGAAGAGCAATTTTGTGAAGATTATTATGTCAAAACGACTAAAAGATTATCAAGTGGAGTGTATGAAGTACGTTTACCCATGAAGAAAGGCTTTGAAAGGCAATTAGGTAACTCAAAACTAAAGGCAGTCGCACAGTTCAAGCAATTAGAGCGAAAGCTAGGAAAAGATCCGCAGCTATGTGAAAAGTACAACCATTTCATGAATGAGTATATTGCAATGAACCATATGAAACCGGCAGTGGAGACTAAATCTCTAGAATGTTATTTACCACATCACGGCGTCCTAAAATTTGACTCTAACACTACCAAATTACGAGCTGTTTTTAATGCATCGGAAAAAACATCGACTGGCTTTAGCTTGAATGACTTAATGGAGTGCGGCCCTAAACTGCAACGTGATATACTGGAATTATTATTAAGTTGGCGTGCTTACAAATACGTATATACAGCAGATTGTGAAAAGATGTATCGTATGATCAAGGTACAAGAGGATGACCAGCAACTCCAGAAGATTATATGGCGGAACGAACAAGGCACTATGCAAGAATTTCAATTATGCACCGTCACATATGGTATGAAAGCTGCACCTTACTTGGCTCTCAGAACGATGCAGCAGTTAGCAAGTGATGACGCTGACGTTTACCCTATAGCAGCTGAGATCTTGAAGAAGAGATTCTATGTTGATGATTTGATATATGGTAGCAACAAGATCGAGGAAGCAAAACAAGCGCAACGCCAATTAATTGATATATTACGAGGAGGCGGTTTCAACTTGAGAAAATGGTCCAGCAATGAACCCAGACTCCTGGAAGATTTATCTAACGACCAAATTAATGTCTCTACTGTCAACTTCAACGACAGCTCATCATCATCAACTAAGGCATTAGGGTTGCGTTGGCATCCATCCTCTGATATTTTTACATTTGACAATAAGATTGAGAACACGCAAAAG